CCCAATCATATCGTCTACTCCGAAGGATGGGAAAGTCACCGTGTAACGAAATATTGTAACTAAATTGAGCATTGCATCGGTGTTCACCCAGACTTAAATAGGTAGCATTAACTTGTACAGAGAAGTAAATGTAGTCAGTGTAACAGCTGCCACGTCACACATCCAGTACCAGTACTACTGCAACCACTACCACCACCACCATCACAACAACAACAACAACAAAAACTGTCAATACAGTCTGTGTAGGTCGGTGTAGAAAAGAGGAAGCGCCGAATGCTGTCGCCACTGACTATTTAGTTTGATTTTGCCTCGGACATAGGAAAAAAAAAAACTTCATCACGTAACCAGTGATGGAACCCCCAGTGAAAAGTACACTATACTCACGAATAGCGGATAAAAATACCCCGCACCCGTCATCTCTCCCTCTCCGAGGGAACGATTTTTAACTGACCTTGGCATCCGTGTCCACCCAAACTAAACTGGACTGTAAGCTGTCTTAGTTAACAGTTTCTGTCATCGTCGAATAGTTTTTGATTGAGAAGCGTCGCGGGGAGGCTAATTAGGACTTAACTGACATCGGATGTCTTTCGGCGAAAGGCACAGATATCGCAGCCTAGCTGTAAACCACAACGTGGCAACCACCCTTTTATGGGAAAAAGACAATTTTCACCCAGCGGTCAATCGAACACCGGTCACCCGCGTGAAGGATGACATACTTACAATTATACTACCGACGACTGAAGAGTATAGGTCAGATATCGCAGCGTAGCTGTTAACCACAACACAACGTGCCAACGGTCCTCTCGAGGGCGAACGAAGATTAACCGTGACATAACCATTGAGCATCACGTCGCCACTGTCGCAGGCTAGCTGTAAACCCCAAAACCAAAAAAGGCATAGATATCGCAGCCTAGCCATAAACCACAACACAACGTGCCAGCCGCCCAGTAAAGGGCTAAAAAATTATATCACCTTGCTAGTAATTGAACGCGGGTCACCCGCATGATAGGCAGAATAGCTACCAACTACGCTACCGAACACTCAAGAAAATAGTGGAAACGAAATTATATAATAATGCAATGTTCAATAAGAGCTCATCAGTCAAATATGGCCGATCAACTAACAACAAATCTGGGCCGGAAACGAAACAAATAATGATTTGACCGTTGCTGGAGCTTCGTGTGTTCGTGGTTTGTGCGATTTTCTGACACAAAATCACTCTTGGAGTCAAATGCAACGTTGTGTGCAAATTTGAAAGCAATCGGTTCAGTGGTTCCGAGTTTTTAGCTAACAACATCGAAAAATTAGGATTTTTATTATTATAGATAGAGTCGACCGTGGTTTGGTGTACGTTCTGTCTACTGTACGATCGGTTTTGGTATATGTTCTCTCTGGTGTACAAGCGGTTTTAGTATACATTCTCTCTGGAATACGAGCAGTTTTGGTATACATTCTCTCTGGTGAACGAGCGGTTTTGGTATACGTTCTCTCTGGTGTACCAGCGTTTTGGTATACGTTCTGTCTACTGTACGAGCGGTTTTGGAATAAGTTCTCTCTGGTGTACAAGCAGTTTGGTATATGTTCACTCTGGTGTACAAGTGGTTTGGTATATGTTCTCTCTGGTGTACAAGCAGCTTGATATACGTTCTCTCTGGTGTACAAGCGGTTTAGTATATGTTCTCTCTGGTGTACAAGCTGTTTGGTAGATATTCTCTCTGGTGTTCAAGTGGTTGGGTATACGTTCTCTCTGGTGTACAAGCGGTTTGGTATATGTTCTCTCTGGTGTACAAGTGGTTTTGTATATGTTCTCTCTGGTGTACAAGTGGTTTGGTATACGTTCTCTCTGGTGTACATGCGGTTTGGTATACGTTCTCTCTGGTGTACAAGCGGTTTGGTATATGTTCTCTCTGGTGTACAACAGGTTTGGTATATGTTCTCTCTGGTGTACAAGCGGTTTGGTATACGTTCTTTTTACTGTACGAGCGGTTTTGGTATAAGTTCTTTCTGGTGTACAAGCGGCTTGGTATACGTTCTCTCTGGAGTACAAGTGGTTTGGTAAATGTTCTCTCTGGTGTACAAGCGGTTTGGTATACGTTCTCTCTGGTGTACAAGCGGCTTGGTATATGTTCTCTCTGGTGTACAAGTGGTTTGGTATATGTTCTCTCTGGTGTACAAGTGGTTTGGTATATATTCTCTCTGGTGTTCAAGTGGTTGGGTATACGTTCTCTCTGGTGTACAAGCGGTTTGGTATATGTTCTCTCTGGTGTACAAGTGGTTTTGTATATGTTCTCTCTGGTGTACAAGTGGTTTGGTATACGTTCTCTCTGGTGTACAAGCGGTTTGGTATACGTTCTCTCTGGTGTACAAGCGGCTTGGTATATGTTCTCTCTGGTGTACAAGTGGTTTGGTATATATTCTCTCTGGTGCACAAGTGGATTGGTATATGTTCTCTCTGGTGTACACGTGGTTTGGTATATGTTCTCTCGGGTGTACGGCCAAGATTCTCGAACGGATAAAAGATAGTTTACCAAGATATCACTGTATAGTTTTTTATATTACATATTTTTATTATTATATTATATTATATTTAATAAAACTTTATTATATTAAATTATATTTAATTAAACTATATTATATCATATCATAAGAACATCTTGTGCAATATATCCTTGTCATTGAGAGAAAAAGAATTCTTGCTTCAAGTTTTAACATACGGCTGTGAATCTTGGACAATCGGTGGACAGGCCAAACAATTTCTTGAGACCTCAGAAATATGGTTTTACAGAAGAATGCTTAGAATACCTTGGACAGCCAAAAAGAGCAACCAAAAGGTTTTGAAAGAGGCGGGAGCCCGAAGACAACTTATCACAGACATCAGAAGGAAACAGTCATCATTTGTCGGCCATGTTATGAGAAAAGGGAAAATAGAACATGTTGTGACCACTGGAAAGATCTATGGAAGGAGGGTTAGAGGAAGACAACGAGAGAAGATTCTTGACAGTCTTGTTGCATGGCATGGAGGTGTGTCGGCACACGAACTGATACATGCTGCAGGAAATCGCAGATTGTGGAGAGGCATGATCGCTCACATAGGTCGGCAAAGCACCTGATGATGATGATGATGATGATATATCATACTGTATTATCCGTGGCTTAGGCATTGCAATTCCGACTCATAATTCCAACGTACCGCGATCGAATCTCAGGTGGCTGGGTGGACTTTTATCATGTATGGGGCATCGCAGGTCGGCCTAGCCTAAAATGGGTAAAAAGATGTACATCCTGAGGAAGTAAAGACGGCTGGCATAATGCTGACCACATTCCCCACCTAGTGCCGACTGGTCTGCAAAAAGAAATATGAGTGCTCTTCCCATATGCTCAATGTGCATAAAGACGGGAAAAGGGATCTTTAATTATACTGTATTATATTATATTATATTATATTATATTATATTATATTATATTATATTATATTATATTATATTATATTATATTATATTATATTATATTATATTATATTATATTATATTATATTATATTATATTATATTATATTATATTATATTATATTATATTATATTATATTGTATTGTATTGTATTGTATTGTATTGTATTGTATTGTATTGTATTTATTGTATTGTATTGTATTTATTGTATTGTATTGTATTGTATTGTATTGTATTGTATTTATTGTATTGTATTGTATTGTATTTATTGTATTGTATTGTATTTATTGTATTGTATTTATTGTATTGTATTGTATTGTATTGTATTATATTATATTATATTATATTATATTATATTACATTATATTTATATTTTATAATGTTACGATATTATTCTTCTGCCGCTCGTACTATACTGACAGCAGCAACACTTACTTATGCGGCAGTTACCAATATCACTACTATTTAAGCTATCATGATAGATTATGAAACCCGACTAAGTGTAGAAACAATGAGCTTCACAGTATCACAAACACAACTGATAAGTGAACGTTACAGCTCAAGAGCCTTCATCAGCAGAAAACGATAATACCCCCCCCCCCCCCCGCCAAAATTCATTACAGACAAGTTATAAATACGCTACAGGCGATTAGTCTTGGGTTGGTTTCGACAGTAGTACCGAGAGCTGACAGTTTTGAAAGAAATAGCAATTTACTAAACGTAAAATGTGCCTAGAAAAACCACAACAGCCAAAACAGTGCTGTGGTTATTTCTGCAACGTCCTGTGTAGAATACGCAACTAACTAACTTTATAAATTTTGGCACACACATATAGAGCAGTTCTGGTAGGGCCGGACACACGAGAGAGGCAAAATCAGTGACATGCAGCGAGGTATTAACAATGTCCTGAAATGATATCAAGGGAAATAGGAAAACAGAACTTGTCAACCCCATAGTATCACAAACACAAACGACAAGTGAATGTCGCCGTTCCCACGGCCTGTCCTATGTTGTGGGGGGTGTCATATATTCCTTGTTTTTAACGACTTAACCGTTCTTTCTTTTCTCGTGTTGTCAACGCCCAATTGCGTGATTGTTTGCACGTTCTGCTACTTGCCTGACGGTTCATGAGTTTCGAAACTAGGATGTTTCTGTGTTTATACCTTCCTCGGCGATGGCATTTTTTTTGGGGGGGGGGGAAAAGGGGGGAAGGGGGGGGGGAGCACATGCAAGAAATTAGAAAAACAAAAATATGCCAGTTTTGATATTCACAAACCGTCGCGCCTTCGGTGCTTCCCCCTCAGTACTTTTTACATGTATATAGGCGCCTGCGGCGCCTTAAACAGACTCACGCCAACAAAAGCCGAATGAAGTAATCTCATAACATGCCCACAACATAGGACAGCCCGTGGAAACGGCCACGACATGAATGAGAGCCAACACGAAATCTCGTGACTTGTACCTAATTATGTGATAACACAAATATTACAGTTGGCAGATGAATATTCTAGCCATCTTTAAGTCACTACAACTCATTCAATTTTTGTGTCATAGGTCAACGAATACCCAGAGTTCCTCACGGGAGAGGAGAGAACCAACACACAGCACATTGCCATCTCTTACATGACGTCAGAGCCTCGGAAGAGATCGTTCCGGCGAACCAAGAGGTCACCCAGAAGTTCTTTGACAGAGCTCAGTGAGACGAGGTTCGTGAGGACACCTTTCATATTTCTTTGCGTTATGGAAGTCGACAGATTTGTGCAGTAGATGAGCAACCAGCTTCTCTTTGCCTCTTACACTGTCACCTAACCTACCACCATCACAACTACCCCACTACCACCACTACGACTACTACCACAACTACCACCAGCGCCATCATTACTACTAACACTACTACTACCACCACCACCACCACCACCACAACTACTACTACCACCACCACGACTACCACCACCACTACCACTACTACCATCACCACCGACATCACCATCATCATTACTACTACTACCACCACTAACATATCATCATCACTACTTCTATCACAGCCACCACTACAGTTACTACTACCACTACTAATACTACAGCCACTAGTACCACCACCACCACGAATACTACTGCTGCTGCTACTACTGCTACCACTGCTGCTACTACTACTGCTGCTGCTACTACTGCTACCACTGCTACTACCACTGCTGCTACTACTGCTACCACTGCTACTACCACTGCTGCTACTACTACTGCTGCTGCTACTACTGCTACCACTGCTGCTACTACTACTGCTGCTGCTGCTACTGCTACCACTGCTGCTACTACTACTGCTGCTGCTACTACTGCTACCACTGCTACTACTACTGCTGCTACTACTACTGCTGCTGCTACTACTGCTACCACTGCTACTACCACTGCTGCTACTACTACTAAAATCTGGCTCCGTCATGACCTGAACCCACGACCTTCCGATCTGAAGATGAGCGTCTAGCCACTACACTTCTACACTTTTCTTAGAAAAGTATTACAACTACCACTACTAATACTGCCAACACCACTACCATCACTACAACTACCACTACTAATACTGCCAACACCACTACCATCACTACTACTACTACTACTACTACTACTACTACTACTACTACTACTGCTGCTGCTGCTGCTGCTGCTGCTGCTGCTGCTGCTGCTGCTGCTGCTGCTACTACTACTACTACTACTACTACTACTACTACTATCACGACCACAACTAAAAAAAAATTATAATAGTAATAGTAACTCTACCCCAACAGTAACTACCACTACTACAATCACAGCCACAGCCACAACAAATACCATAACCACTACCGCCAGCTGCTGCTGCTACTACTACTGCTACCATTGTTTCCCATGGGGGTTTCGGGGCCCCATTTTGGATGAAAACAAGAATAGACCCACTATTCGATTAATTAGGATCATACTTCAGAGTGCATCTGTCTGTGAGGCAAGGAACCAGGAGTATGTATACAAATAACCCAGATATGTGAAACGGACATGCACGCAACACTGAGGTTCTAGATCAAGACTTAAGTCCGGATTTGAACCAATACACAGAACTTTCCGACAGAGTTTACAGCCAGTGAACACGAAGAACAAGAAGACTACTACTGCTACCACCACCACCACCACCACCGCAACTACTATCACCACTTCTGCTGCTGCTGCTGCTGCCACTGCTATTACTAATAATAAAGAAGGAGACTAACACCACCATATCCTTTATGCTGCGTTAAATAAATCTGTATGCTAACAGAATCAGAGATTGACCACACAGAAAATCAACCGCAGAAATATCAGAAACACTGGGGAAAAAAAGGGAAAGGGGGGGGGGATGTAGTATATACGAAGCGAACAAAAGGATCTGTTTCAGACATCTCTTCCTGCCCTGATGCCAGGAGGCATTCCGGAAGTAAAGAAGAAAAATGAAACTTAAAATTTATTTTTAATTGTAATGTCAAATAAGTACTGCTGTATGGAGCGGAATCATGGAGAACAACTAAAACAATTACTGTAGTAATAAACTATAAACATTAATTAACTGGAATAGAGGGAAATAAATTGTATTATAGAACCATTATTGTGGAGCTTCGATAGAGTCAACTAAACAAATTCCAGCTAATCAATAGGTGAACAAAAAACACAGATGTTGGATTGAACACGCGTTGAGAAAACCTTAGAACAGTGTAATTATTATGTCTTTTCACTGGAACCCACAGGGCATATAAATAAAGGCAGACAAAACACTACAAGGAGAAGGAAGCTAGAGAGCTGCATGCGATAGGAAATGATAGGAGGCTGAGTTGTTCGAAGGCCTTTACCCCATTAGGGCAATAACTGGCTGCAGAGGTGGAGGGCGTGGGGGGGGGGGGCTGCGTGGTCTCGTGGCATGGTGTCCCCCTTGAGTGCTAGATGTTTCGTGTTTAATTCCCGGCAAGGGCTGCAATTTTTTCACGTGGGACCTGGACTTCTAGTAATTCCCCCGGGTCTCTGGGTAGTGAAATCAGACGCCCGTGTGTATTGTTGCGCACGTACAAAAATCCCTTGGCAGTTGGAAATCGAAAAGAGTAGCCTAACGGCGCTGCCTCGGCATAAATTTGGAGTTAAGAATCTACCCAAAGTATTTCAGGATCCTCGCCGGTGCTACGGAGCCTGTGCACTGTGCTGAGATTCTTCGGACTCAGACTTGAGTTAGAAGAAGAACGGAGCACTTATAGATTATTACCCGTGTGCCATAATGTTGATCGGTTGTTCAAAACCTCAAACGGGCTGCAGAATGAAGGAATCACACATCACTGCAATCGAAACATTCCCAGACGTGCTCTATCCCTATCTTCAGTGGCCAACGAGGAGTCGAAACAGCATCAGTTGCAACCTGCTTGAAAGTCTGACTATGTTTCTTCATCAGCGTTGAATATCTTTCCTTGAATTATTCATTTATTGTATGGGTTTCTGTCTGTTCTGTTGTGCTGTCCTTTCGATCCGATAGAGCAGTGGTTCTCAAACTATGGCTCGCCGCCCCTTTTTTAGATCGAACTACTTTTTCACAGTGGTCGCCAAAGACCATCGGAAGACACATATTCTCTGAAGCTGTGAAGAAGCAACGAAAATAGCGGAATGGCTGGGGGGTCGCCACAACATGAGGAACTGTATTAAAGGGTAGTGGTATTAAAAAATGTGGAGAACCACTGCCATAGAGCTTTCACCACGCCCTCTTTTTTATAAATCAGCCCATCTCCCAGAGGGGCGGCAGCAGTTGATTTATAAGCGTGCTTGTTTTCCCGCACACATGAATTTCCTGGATATAGAATTCTTGATATATTCCTGATTTTAGATTTTAGCGATGCAAGTCACTCTGCGTGCAAGACGCTAATTTAATTGTTCCAAAACATCCTCTTTCCGTCCGTTATAATTAAGTAAGTAAAGTAAAGATATCTTTTCACGCCTTTAGGCGCATCGGGCACATGGGAAGAGCATCCATTTTTTTACAGACCAATCGGCACTATGTGGGTAATGTGGTGAGCATTACGCCGGCCGTCTTTACTTTTTCAGGACATACATCCTGGAACCCATTTTAGGTTGGGTCGATTTGCGACGCACCATGCGGCCAAGCAGTGGGTTTAGATCCCGGTACGTTGGAGTTAAGAGTCGGACTCGCAACACCTAAGCCACGGACGCCGCTTGCCCGTTATAATTACATGTAATTGAAGAAGAAGAATAAAAGGGGTCTTGTACAGAACTGAGTCTTTGCGGAAATAATGAACCTTCAACGTTTCGGTAATTACATTTCCTTTATTGTCACTAACTGCGGTTTAGACATGTCCTTTATCGTCATTAACCGCGGTTTGTATGTACTACCAGGTCAAATGCATCAACACCTGTCAGTTATGCCAGCTCTCTCGACGGGAACATGTTTGAGGACTCCAGTTCTCTTACTAGCAGCATCAATGGTTCTGCCAACTGGGGTGGTTTGAAGAACGGGATTCCCAAGAAGAAGAAGCAGAAGGCAGCTTTGAATGATAGCCTGGAGTATGGGGGCAATCTTAGGTCATTAAAGGTAGGTGGTGATACGTTTGTGAGTTTAGTGGTGTTTGTGACTTTGTGTGGTGTTTGTGTGGTGTGTTTGTGATTTTGTGTGGTGTGTTTGTGATTTTAGTAAGGTTTGTGACCTTATGTGGTGTTTATGATTTTCTGTCGTGTGTCTATAATTTTGTGTGGTGTGTTTGTTTTAATTTTGTGTGGTGTGTTTGTGATTTTAGTATTTTTTGTCACTTGGTGTAATATCTATGACTTTTTGTAGTGTTTGTGACTTAGTGTGGTATGTTTGTGATTTCAGTGGTGTTTATGATTTTAGTTATATTTGTGAATTTGTGTGGTGATTGTGACTTTGTGTGGTGTTTGTGACTTTGTGTGGTGTTTGTGACTTTGTGTGGTGTTTGTGATGGTAAACAACACCATTAAGCAAATTCATCGAGAAATAGAAGATCAAATGGTTTGGTCATTTAGTAAGAATGCAGCCAGAACAACTACCAAAGCAGGCATGAAAAGATCAAGTGAAAACACGAGGTCGCCCCAAGAGATATGGATTGAAGTCATTAAAGAATTTCTACATCAACACAGAATGATAACAGCCACTGCTGCCTATCAAGCAATGAATCGCAGACTGTTCCTTCCACAACCCTTAATGAACGAAGTGGAAATTGACGATGACGATGATTATGACTGGTAACATAGGGTTGGAATGAATATGCTTGTATGGGATGTTTTGTTTGTACTGACTGGGATTGTTTGATGCTGTCAGAGGGGAGGGGAAGGGCTAGCTGTCCCAATACGTGTCAGTAAGTAGATAAAGGACACTTTACCACGCCTTTAGGCGTATAGGGCATATAGGGCTAGACCTATATTTTTGAGACCAGTCGGCACAAGATGGGTGATGTGGTCATCACAGTGCCAGCCATCTTTACTTCCTGGGACTGCACCCGGTACCCACTCAAGGCTAGGTCGACCTGGGACTGCACCCGGTACCCACTCAAGGCTGGGTAGACCTGGGACTGCACCCGGTACCCACTCAAGGCTGGGTAGACCTGGGACTGCACCCAGTACCCACTCAAGGCTGGGTAGACCTGGGACTGCACCCAGTACCCACTCAAGGCTGCGTAGACCTGGGACTGCACCCAGTACCCACTTAAGGCTGGGTAGACCTGGGAGCCAAGGTCGTTTTCGAAAAAAAAAAGTCCAGCTGCGCCAGGGAGCAAACCCTCGACCTTCCAATCCGCGGCGAGCGTCTAGCCGCTCCGGTCCCAATACTTGACTGATGAAATATTGCACTGCTGTATTTACAGGAAGAGATGGAAGAAGATCTAACAGAAGACAGCAAAACGGGCAAACTAAATCCATTGAAATCGCCGATCCATTCCAGCAGAAGTCTCTACAGCATCAACTCATCTACAAGATTAAACAGCCGGAACTTCCTTGCTCCCTCAGAAAACGGCCCACAAGTCAAAGACAGTGTCCAAAGTGCTAGAATTATTGTAGGTAATGGTTATAGCAGCAAGATACCAGCACTACCTCCGATTAAAGTGACAAAACCTGATTTCTCTGAGAGTGAGAAACAGACTTTTGTAGAGGCTTCTACTAGAAAGGAAGTTGAGATTGTGGATATCAAAGGCTGCTGTTCCTGTTTCAGAAACTATGGAAAACCTAAAAATCAAGTAAGCAAGAAACATCTATTAAATGTGTTTACCTGTTGTGTAGTATATTAACTCTCAAAAAACAATTCTAATGTTATAAGTTTTTCAGTTGCCTACTGTTACAACTATCGCCACCACCAATCACCACTACCACACCGACTATTGCTACTGCCGTAATGTTACTACTACTGCTGCTACTGCTGCTACTGCTGCCGCTAACATCAAACAGCATGAGCCTTGTTAATGTATATATATATATATATATATATATATATATATATATATATATATATATATATATATATATTACCAATTGAAACCCATTGGCCAAATTAAAAGACATAACACACTTATGAAGAGAAAGGTCGAAGGTAAAAGAGCAAGAGGTGGACAACAATAAAAGTGGGAGTTCAACATCAAGAGATGGACGGGCAGCAGTCTGAGTGTACAATCAGGAAAAAGACAAAATGTGTTGGAGATCCATTGCAGCCAACTTTCACTGTGGAGACGGCACCTGATATATATATATATATATATATATATATGATAGTGTGTGTTGTTTGTCGTTTAGACACCTTCTTTCGGTTCATGAGTGAAATCTTTTCAAAAATCAGTAGCGATCGTGACTGAAACTGTAAAAGTTAGAGTTCGAGCTTTGGTGGCGCTCTCAGCAGTTGTCCAGTTGCTCTGTACAGAGGTCAAGCCAAATTATACACATATATACTTTTTTGAATACCTAATGTTGTGAAGCCAGTCCTCTCACCATTGAATAATTTCAGCATATAATCAAACTGCTAATGACTATCCCCTTCAAGTTTAATAGCTTTTGCATTAGATTTAATAACTTTGACTTAAACTTTATGCACTTTGACTTTAACTTTATGAACTTTGACTTTAACTTTAAGAAGTTTGATTTTAAGTTCAAGTTGTATAAAAGTATTGAGTATATCATTTCTGTATCAGGTGGAGCCGGTGTACACTCCCAATGACCACAAGTTAGAACTACCGAAAGTGCCCACGAGTCAAGTCAACGGACTGCCTGTCATCCATTCACAGCTTTATCTGGGAAGTCAACTGTTGAACAAGAATGGAGCTCTTGGCAGTCACACGTCATTAAGTAAGGACTCTAGAAGTGCCACACCACTGCTTGGTTCTCAGGGCAATGTGTGAGTAGTCCTTATATCATCTAGAATGTGTGTATGTAAAATATGTGCATATGTGTGTTTACGTTTAAACATAGGTTTAGGTTTAAACAATGGATCAACACTATGACACAAGGGTAGTAACCCATAAGTGCACTGTTCTACTTCTAACTCAAGACTGAGTCCGAAGAATCTCAGTGCAGTGCATGAACTCCATAGCACCGGCCAGGATTCTGAAATACTTTGGGTAGATTTTTAACTCCATATTTTGCCCAGGCGGGGCCGTTAGGCTACTCTTTTCAATTTCCAACTGCGAAGGGATTTTTTACGTGCACAGCAATACACATGGGCGTCTGATCTTACTGCACAGAGACCAGGGGAAATAACTAGCAGTCTACATGAAAAAATCCCAGCCCTCCCTGTTTCCTGAACCCGGGACCTCCGGCACTTGAGGCGGACGCCATGCCTCAAGACCACGCAGCCTCTTGTTTTATTGGGTATATGTGTGTGTTAGTCTATATGTGCTCTAGCATCTCCCATGCTCTCACAAGGAGAATCTCATTTTCTGTAAATAAAACAGTATAAAACAAAAACCAACAAACAATTGACCGATAAGGTCTATTCAGTGGTAAAGCAAAATATAAAGGGACAGGAAGGGTTGTCTGTTTTTCTTCTTTTTTTTTCTGTTTTAATGCTTATCATCTATTGAGCTCCCTAAGTAGGAGATTTCAAATATCTAGGAAGCATATTTACAGAGGATGGCAGACTCCATAGAGAGATAGAAGCCAGAGTAAAGAAGGCAAATGCTATCATCTACCAGTTAGCCCCACTGCTTAGATACCCAAATGTCTCCGTTCCAGCAAAACAGCAAATTATTAATAGCATTTGCATGCATTTTTCATGATGGATATTCACAGACATGTGTAAAAACTGAAATGATGTTAGAATTTAAAATGTGTAGTTGATTTATAAAACTATACAATTTAGAGTTCCATAAGAGATCATAATACGTGATGACATATTGAAAGGTGACTTCCCTTCCACACACACACCATTGTTTTTCATCTAACAGGGAAAAGTCTTTTAAAGTTTTATTCATATTTTTTTGTTGGCCTACAGTATATTTTAGTCACCGGGACGAGTAAATCTCTGTCACAATGATCAAGCACAAATAAGCACAGTGGTTAATGTGTAATTAAAATGTATTTGCCGTGATTTCGGAGAACAATATTTCAGTGAAATTTTGCTGTTTTTAAAAAAAAAGTTAGTGGCTTATCCTAACAGGATGTTGCAGAATCAGCTCCATCACTTTTTAGTTGTTGTTTTTTTATTTTTAAAGGCAAATTGTGCGTTCATTAGTTTGCCATTGCTCTAAACGGTCGGCTCTCGATAACACTATCAAAACCAAAGCATAGTAAACAGTTGCCTGCAGCTAGGATTGAACCCGGCACCCTGGCATTACAAAGCATGTTTGCAGCGCCTAGGCCACAGACGCCGACTGTTAAAAATAGACAGGCAAAATTTGAGGTTTAGAAATGATTAAAACATTTTTAGTAAATTCCTATGGAACAATCTTGTTTAATATTCGTCCTCTTTTTTAAGATTTGTCCTCCCATCATAAACAGATTAATGACAAAGATTGGAGTTCCTCTGTATGTGAATTATAACAGCAACCCTATTTCATTCAAGTGACAGCAACGAACTCAACAATTTATTTTCTGATTGGGGCAATACACCATCGCTGACCGGTTTCAGCCTGCTTTCCCTGGCTGGTAACTCTGAGAGACGGAAGTGTGTCCTCAACATCTACCTGTTGAACCTCAAGTCTTCTTTCTTGTTTTTTCTCACAAGTGCCTGGAACAACTATGTCATTGTGAGTGTTTTTACTGTTACTATGGCATCTTATAGTGCAGTGTTCTCCAACCTTTTTTCAGTTGATGCCCTTCATGAGTATATGGCAAGAACCCACCCACATCATAATAAAATGTTCCCTATGTAAAATCCGAGATCCCATTGTGGGGAAAACAAAAATAGACCCACTGCCTCCCCAACACACATGTCGTAAGAGTTGACTAATTGGGTGCTTCCTTCGAAGTCGGAGTGCATCTGCCTGAGAGGCAAGGAACCAACAATCTGCATAAAAGTATACAACACTCAAGTTCTGGAACAAGAGGAATGTATGTCCAGAGGTGGACAAGCAACCAGAACTTTCCGCTGGAGTTTACAGCCGGTGAACGTGAAGAAGAAGATAACAAAATTTGAGGAAACAAGGGAAAGAATGTGTTGTTAATCTATAATTATGTGTTATCATATCAATTAGACTTTTTAAGCTAGATGTACGAGCTGCTCAGGAAGACAGATGTACGAGCTGCTCAGGAAGACAGATGTATCAGCTGCTCAGGAAGACAGATGTACGAGCTGCTCAGGAAGACAGATGTATCAGCTGCTCAGGTAGACAGATGTATCAGCTGCTCAGGAAGACAGATGTACGAGCTGCTCAGGAAGACAGATGTATCAGCTGCTCAGGAAGACAAGAAGACAGATGTACGAGCTGCTCAGGAAGACTGATGTATCAGCTGCTCAGGAAGACAGATGTACGAGCTGCTCAGGAAGACAGATGTACGAGCTGCTCAGGAAGACAGATGTACGAGCTGCTCAGGAAGACAGATGTATCAGCTGCTCAGGAAGACAGATGTACGAGCTGCTCAGGAAGACAAATGTACGAGCTGCTCAGGAAGACAGATGTACGAGCTGCTCAGGAACACAGATCAGCTGCTCAGGAAGACAAATGTACGAGCTGCTCAGGAAGACAGATGTACGAGCTGTTCAGAAAGACAAATGTACGAGCTGTTCAGAAAGACAAATGTACGAGCTGTTCAGGAAGACAAATGTACGAGCTGTTCAGAAAGACAAATGTACGAGCTGTTCAGAAAGACAGATGTACGAGCTGTTCAGAAAGAGAAATGTATGAGCTGCTCAGGAAGACAGATGTACGAGCTGTTCAGAAAGACATATGTATGAGCTGTTCAGAAAGACAAAAAATGTCCTGGCATTTCATTTTATAAATAGTTCAAAAAAAAATTTTTTTTTTAAACTCAACTGAGAAAAAATGTTAGTATAGCGGATAATTTTAATTACAAATTGACTCGTTTTCAAAATTCCCTCCCCAACCCCGGTGCCCCCTCACACTAAGTTGGAGACCACTGGTATAGACAGTTTGTGTTTTTGCATGAGCGCGCATATGTGTGTGGGTGTGTGAGGGTTCAAGATCAAGAATAAGATCAAGAAGAGGGTCTTTACTGCATCGAGTTTGATTACATATGGCTCACTCTGTCTCTGCAGAACAGCTCGATGGCATAATATATGCCATTTCAAGCGGCGTAGGCGCTGGCATTCTGCTCTGGCTGATGATGGGGATGAAGCACTTATGGGAATGTCCTGAGTGCTATGATGTCAACTCAACTCAACATTTCAGCACACTTTTTCTCCTGTTTAACAAGAAAGACCTGCTGTACATTTTATTTTGCATCTCTTCAAATGCCACCTTTGCCAGGTGTATACTGTATTTATTGTCAGTTGTACATCCGCAGAATGGATAGCTGTGTAAATATTGCTGTCTGAACAAAACAACGCAATCTGCAAGACAAACCCACAACCTTCAGAATGCAAGGCAAACGGCTAAACAGTTTAACCATAGAGATCCCCTTTCCCACAAATAACTTCCTTTTAGCATGTGTATGTTGCAATATATCCTCGTCATTTAGAGTTAGAAAAAGAATTCATACTTGCTACATACATCCAGTTTTAACATATGGCTGTGAATCCTGGACAATCGGTAGGCAGGCCAAACAATTTCTAGAGGCCTCAGAGATGTGGTTTTACAGAAGAATGCCTAGAATACCTTGGACAGCCAAAAAGAGCAACCAAGAGGTTTTGAAAGAGGTGGGAGCCCGAAGACAACTTTTTGAAGACATCAGAAGAAGACAGTCATCATTTTTTGGCCATGTTATGAGAAGAGGGAAAATAGAACATGTTATGACCACTGGAAAGATCTGTAGAATTAGGGATAGAGGAAGACAATGAGAGAAGATGCTTGGCAGTCTTGTTGCATGGCATTGAGGTGTGTCGGCACACGAACTTATGCATGCTGCAGGAGATCACAGATTATGGAGAGGCATGATCGCCTACGCCAGTCGGCAAGGCACCTGATGATGATGTTGCAACATTAAATACTCATACAACACTGTGTTTGTGTGAGTGTGTTTTTGTGGTTGGGGAGGGTGTATTGTGTCAGGTTAAATATGAGAGGGTTTCAAATAAAAACTTGTAAGTATGATACAAATAACAATATCATTATCTTGTAACCTGTCAGTGTGCTTGTTAAGAATAAATATGGGGATGTAATAATGACAGTACAATGAACTATTCTTCCATGACACTGAACGAAAAAGTGGAAGTTGACGATGAGATGATCATGTTGATGATGGTGATGGTACCAATTTTGATGATGCAGATGATGATGATTATAATGTTGGTGATTGTGATTATGATTAGGATGATGATGTTGTTATTGACCATGATGATGGTGGTGATAATGATGATGAAGTAGTGTTAATGATGATGGTGAATGATGACGGGTACACATATGTTTCTGTTTTCCTACAGAAATCTACCCTGGTATTGGAACCTGAGCAGTTTCAGGCACCAACAGATCGGGCGTCCTTAAATCTCACTCGCAGGTAGGCATGAACACTATATATAAGGTAACTGATGTAGTTTACAGACACGGAAGAAACGTTAAATGCATTAGCAGACAAACTTGCATAGTGTGTAAATGGGCGGCACTGACCTAGATGGGCCTGAAAAAGTGATAAGAACCCAGTTTGGTATGTGTCCAAAGATCTGGATCTGGATCAATAGATTACGTACATATCACAAGGTACCAATGTATTATGTAAACGAATAAAATGAAATAATAATAAATGACAAAACTATAAAGTATGAAATACTTAATTGGACTGTTCTGAACTGAACATAGAACAGAAACGGTTTTAGAGTTTTTATAGTTTAATCGCAATAGCCCCATTTTGACAGAAATGTTATGACAGTTTAAAGCTATGATTTTTTTTATACAACTGGCAGAGACACCATGGAGAGAAAGTACTGTCAGATCAAGCGTGACCTCTTACAACATCGCTTACACCTTGAGGAGCAGTATGCCCTGATAGACCAGCTGTGTTCAGCCACCAAGTCAAACAACATGTTCAAAAGATTTTTCTGGAAGGTTTGTATTCATCGACTGTCGATATCCATTTTCTTCTTCTTTTTCTAATAGTCCATGCCGTGTAGCGTTGGTAGTCATATCTGTCCACAACCTTCTGTCTCGTTTACTTTCAATCAAATCTGACACAGATGATCTTTCATACCTTATGACGTTGGTCATTAAATCTGCCCACTACTTTATGTCTCATTTACTTTCAATCAATTCTGACACTGATGATCTTCCATATCTTATGGCATTGGTAGTCATATCTGTCTACAGCCTTCTGCCTAGTGTACTTTCAGTCAATTCTGACACTGATGATCTACCATACCTTGTGGAGTTGGTAGCCATATCTATCCACAACATTCTCTCTCGTGTACTTTCAGTCAATTCTGACACTGATGATCTTCTATACCTTGTACTATCAATCAATCCTGACAAATGATCCTCCATTCCACGATGTCAGACTGTCCAGCATCTTCTCTCTTTTGTCTCCATCTGCCTTTTTTCCCCTCCAACCTTCACACCGCCCTGCTGTACTTTAGTTTTCTCTTTCTCATAACATGAGCAAAGAATGTACTTTGTCTTATTCTGATGTGGCCAATCAGTTCTCTTCATGAATCAGTTTTTTCAAGACATCTTTGCTACTTTCTTCATGAGTCAGCTTTTATCAAGACATCTTTACTATTTTCTTCGTCAGTCAGTTTTTGTCAAGACATCTGGGCTACTTTCTTCATGTGTCAGTTTTTGTCAAGACATCCCTACTACTTTCTTCATCAGTCCATTTTTGTCAAGACATCTTGGCTACTTTCTTCATGTGTCAGTTTTTGTCAAGACATCTTGGCTACTTTCTTCATGTGTCAGTTTTTGTCAAGACGTCTTTACTACTTTCTTCATGAGTCTGTTGTTGTCAAGACATCTTTACTACTTTCTTCATGAGTCAATTTTTGTCAAGACATCTTTGCTTCTTTCTTCATGAGTCAGTTTTTGTCCAGACATCTTTACGACTTTCTTGGTGAGTCAGTTTTTGTCAAGACATCTTCATTACTTTCTCCTTGAGTCTGTTGTTGTCAAGACATCTTCATTACTTTCTCCTTGAGTCTATTGTCGTCAAGACATCTTCATTACTCTCTCCTTGAGTCTGTTGTTGTTTCAGTCAATTCTGACACTGATGATCTTCTATACCTTGTACTATCAATCAATCCTGACTTTCTCCTTGAGTCTATTGTCGTCAAGACATCTTCATTACTCTCTCCTTGAGTCTGTTGTTGTCAAGACATCTTCATTACTTTTTGCTTGAGTCTGTTGTTGTCAAGACATCTTCATTATTCTTTTTATCTGTTCAGGGTGATCTCATCATTCATCTCCATCTGTCGTGTCTTTTTTTCTTCCAGGTAGTACTTAACGGGTGCAGGGTAGAATAGAAGTAATTTAATGGTATGATATAATCACTAATATAAAGCTTTGAAAGTTTACAAAATCACTGTGAATCAGGCAGTGAATAAAAGACCCTGCCATGGAGAGGACCTATGTCGAGAAAACCTGAGAACAATATAACTAAATTTTTGCACTGGAACTGACAGGTCAAATAGAATAAAGGCAGACCAAAAAGGCACATGGAGAAAACTAGAGAGCAAAGTTAAACAGCTAGTGAGGACTTGGGTGGGCTGCATATGATAGCAAAGAATAGGATGACTTGGTGTAAGTTGGTTGCGTGGACCTATGCTCCACGGGATAATGCGAAGAAAACAAAGAAGGAGAAGAAGAAGAGGATGATTTTGATGTTGGTGATGAAGATGATGATGGAGGAAAAGACAGAGGATAATGAGGAGTAGTAAAGTAAGAGAAAGTGGAGAGTGAAAAATGAAGGGGGAAAGAAATATCATTTTTGCGGATGAGTTAATGAGACCAAAAAGTGAAGCAAAGAGTTGCAAATCTGTAACCATGCATGTCGGAAAAGGCGACCATGAAACATTTGCTAGAAGAAGAAACCAGGCAAATTTATAATTTGATTTCAATATTACAATGAAAACTTGCATGGCGTACTGAAGAACAGAAGATGTTGAATTGAGCTCACCACAGCCTTCTAAAAATTCTCCTATTCACTCCGTTCTCGCCTTCAGCAGCCAGCAAAGTGTTCCAGCAAATATGGTGCCAGTAGCAGTCTGGTTCTGTGTCCATTTGGTTGAATGTCGGTCTTTTTTTTTTTTCTGCATGTTGAGCGTTGGCCAGATCCCCGTTCACTTTATGGTGTGGTCATCTATTTGTGCCTCCGCCCTGTTCACTCACTCCCAAATACTTGTTAACTTGCTCCCAAAGCCCTGTTCACTCCCTCCCAAAGCCCTGTTCACTCCCTCCCAAAGCCCTGTTCACTCCCTCCCAAATACTTGTTAACTTGCTCCCAAAGCCCTGTTCACTCCCTCCCAAAGCCCTGTTCACTCACTCCCAAAGCCCTGTTCACTCCCTCCCAAAGCCCTGTTCACTCCCTCCCAAAGCCCTGTTCACTCCCTCCCAAAGCCTTGTTTACTCCCTCCCAAAGCCTTGTTCACTCCCTCCCAAAGCCCTGTTCACTCCCTCCCAAAGCTCTGTTCACTCCCTCAAAAAGCTCTGTTCACTCCCTCCCAAAGTCTTGTTCACTCCCTCCCAAAGCCCTGTTCACTCCCTCCCAAAGCCCTGTTTACTCCCTCCCAAAGCCCTGTTCACTCCCTCCCAAAGCCCTGTTCACTCCCTCCCAAAGCCCTGTTCACTCACACCCAAAGCCCTGTTCACTCGCTCCCAAAGCCCTGTTCACTCACTCCCAAATACTTGTTAACTTGCTCCCAAAGCCCTGTTCACTCCCTCCCAAAGCCCTGTTCACTCCCTCCCAAATACTTGTTAACTTGCTCCCAAAGCCCTGTTCACTCCCTTCCAAAGCCCTGTTCACTCCCTCCCAAAGCCCTGTTCACTCCCTCCCAAAGCCTTGTTTACTCCCTCCCAAAGCCCTGTTCACTCCCTCCCAAAGCCCTGTTCACTCCCTCCCAAAGCCCTGTTCACTCCCTCAAAAAGCTCTGTTCACTCCCTCCCAAAGCCTTGTTCACTCCCTCCCAAAGCCCTGTTCACTCCCTCCCAAAGCCCTGTTCACTCCCTCCCAAAGCCCTGTTTACTCCCTCCCAAAGCCCTGTTCACTCCCTCCCAAAGCCCTGTTCACTCCCTCCCAAAGCCCTGTTCACTCACACCCAAAGCCCTGTTCACTCCCTCCCAAAGCCCTGTTCACTCACACCCAAAGCCCTGTTCACTCGCTCCCAAAGCCCTGTTCACTCGCTCCCAAAAAACTGTCACTCGCTTCCAAAGCCCTGTCGCTCGCTCCCCAAGCCCTGTTCACTCGCTCCCAAAGGAGCTTTGTCAACTTGAAGCAAGCAATAACAGAAAACAGTACACATGTGGCTACACTCTTAAAGATCCAATTAAACTAAAAGCTAATGCAGTAAAATTATTTTTTGACAGAATCCTGACATGCTGTCATTCTTCATCACCCAGCTGCACAAGTACCTGCCTACATCTTCAGCAGCTTTGAACACAGTAAAAGGCAAATTACAAAGAACAGACGAGATTGAGTAAGCTTGGTTACTTTTAGAATTAGTTAGGTTTCAAAGAATCTCTTTTCTCATTGAGTAAGTACGGTTACTTTCAGAAGGGGATAGGTCTAGAAAAATCATTTCTCATCTAGTAAGCCTGGTTACTTTCAGAAGTAGTTAGGTCTAAGAAAGTATAGTGGACAGAATTACGCTGGCCGACTTTACCTCCTATGACAATACCAGGTTCAGTCTTAGGTTGAGTTGACCTGGGAAGCAAGGTCAGTTTGAAAAATAAATCTGCCGCCAAACGGCTTGGCTCCTGAAACATATCGGGGCTCGCATCATTACTGTGAGCTAAATGTTAAATTTGTTTGCTCTTGTTGCTAACGCAATTACGTTAGCCAGATTGTTTACAACTACATGTCAGATAAATGACAAATTTGGCATTACCAGTTGTTAAAAATCGGAGAGTCACTCGAATGTTTGACCTACTCAAAGTGACATCATTACAAAGGACGAGACCTCACTGGCTGTTTCAAAATGTTTATGTTGCTGTAATAGCAGATGAAGATTTAATTTTTTTTTTAAATTTAAACAGTTATGTAATAAGCTAACTTAATAAATGCATTTTTAAATGCCCGCATTACACGCAAGAGAGGCACCGTGGTGTAGCAGCTAGACATCGCCTGGGGATCAGCAGGTCATGAGTTCAGGTCCTTCAAAAATGGCCTTCACTCCCAGGTCTACCCACCCTTGAGTGGGTACCAGGTACAAAATAATACTCATAGACATTTCATACATATCATGAAACTGATAGTCTCTAAATACATTTATATTCTTCAAGAAATCAGTACAATTAAATTAATGTTTAACGTCATCATCTTCATCTTCGTCATGTATAGACACAAATTGTTTTTCATGAAAAATTCTCTTTAAGTTAATGCTGTCTTGTTTCTCTAGATTTGCCATTTTGGTCTTGTCCGCCATCAATCTCATGCTGAGGGAGACGGAAGTATTCCCATGCCGAATGCAGATTCTGAAGCTGGAAGGGTATGTGGTCTTATTGTGGAAACTGATGTTCTAGTGGTGGACCATTGGTGTTGGCACATCTGACAGCTGCTTTGTGCATTTTTGCTTGCATATGCAAGCTTCAAAACTGTGCTGGGATTGACGTATTTTTCACTAGTTTTCAAATAGGACCGTGAAGGACAAATTGTGACTTTCCCTGGCACAGGAATGAATCAGTCATGAGGTGACTTATCTACAATTATGTTGGAACCTTGACTAACCATAATTATTTGTGTGAACATGTCTAAAAATACTAGAAAAACATAAAATGTTTGTCAGCTTTACAGGACCCATTAAAATTGACCCAAAAAAAAAGCACTGAGGTAACTTCCTTCATCAGCAGAGCAACAACAAGAAACAAAACACATCACACGAAAAGTCTTTCATTAATTTTGCAAACACCTCATTTTGACTTATGCTTTCAATTGTGGGAACATGAGAGTACAAGACAGAGTTTGAGGGTAGAGAAGCAAATGGAGAAGTAAACACAACTGTTAAAGAGAAATTCCAGTGAATCAAGAGGTGAAGAAAAGATGCTGGAAATGACATACATTGAGGAAAACCTGAGAACAGTATAACTAGAAGGGCTTTACGGTAAACCAGCTGGGGCTTAGAAATACAAGTGTGCGTGCATGTGCGCACACACACAGAAAGAGAAGTGAACTGTAGTTGAATGTTGAATTGAGAATCGACATCACAGCATGTGGGACATTCTCATAAATGCTCAGTCCTCATCTTCAGCAGCAATGGAAAAGTTCTATTTCCGATGGCACTGTATGATTGTACAAGGTATATCCGTCTTGTCCTTTCCCTGAGTGTTGAGCGTCGGCCGGATTCCCAGGCAACTCCTCGCAGCATCATTCTCTCCAGACTTTACTTTATAATAAAAAGAATCACTGCTGGAGCTACAGAGTGCATGCTCTGTGCTTGATACCATCTTCAGGTGGCAGTAGAGAGAGTGGGAACTATACAGAATTTTTAAGCGATGGAGAGCACACAGGTTAGGCTGTATGTGATAGTCAAAAATAGGACGACGGCTTGAGTTGCTTTAGGGCCTATGCTCCGGTGGGGATTCTTCTTCTTCTTGTGATTACTCTCTGAGGCCATTATTCACTTCCTAATGGGCTGTACAAGGGATATCCTTGCAAGACATATTCTGTAGTCTGTACACACACAGCCCACAAGGGCACAAAGGTGAACTACTTAGGTGAAAAGGTGGAATGGGGAATAAAGAGTAGGAGTAGACGGAACCAAATTATACACAGTGAATGGAGTGGCAAGAGAAATTAAATGAGGGACTGTGAGGGAAGGGAGAGAAATATGTTATGATAGACAGATGGAGATGAGAATGGGAAAAAAAAAACAGGAAGGAAATTCTTTTCTCGTTTTCCATGCCTGCGGATGTGTAATGTATATGTGTGTGTTTGTGTCTTCTTTATCACCTCGCCTATTTTTTTTTTTGTACGTCGTGTGTGTCTGCGTTGTGTGTACTGCATATATATTTAAAGATTTAAAGTATCTAATCACATGAATTACATTTAGCAGAAGATGTAATACTGAGATAAAGAACAGAATAAGACAGGCCAAAACTCCATTTTATCAAATGAAGAATGTTTTATGCAATAAATCCATGTCATTAGAGGTTGGGACAAGAATTCTTCTATGCTATGTGGAGCCAGAGTTTTAAAATATGGTTGTAAATCCTGAACAATTAATAAACAAACCAAACAATTTCTTGAGACCTAAAGATTTGGTTTCACAGAACAATCCTTAGAATTGCTTGGACAGTCAAAAAAAAAGAAGTGAAACCCAGATGTTTTCAAAGAGGCGAGTGCTCGAAGACAACTTTTAACAAACACCTGAAAGAGACAATCATCATGTTTTGTCATGTTATGAAAAGAAGGCAGCTGGAATATGTTGTAACCACTGGAAAGATTTGTGGAAAGAGAGACAGTGAAAGACAATGGGAGAAGATTCTTGACAGTCTTTTGTCGTGGCATGGAGGGGTGTCAACACACGAACTGATACAAGGTTGCAGATTGCAGGATGTGGAGAGTCATGATTGCCCATGCCACTTGACAAGGCACTGAATATTGATGATAAAGTGTTTGCCATCCATGCTTGTGTATGTTTAATTTATTTTTTATGCTATCAGTTTTGTTATGTAAACATAATATGCTTGATATATAAAATGCAATTGTCATGTGAAAGATAAGTGTTTGAAAGAGCCGGATGTAAGACGGGCCTGCGTGCCTAATTTATGACCCTGTGGAAATAAAGTTCCTTCCTTCGTTTGTTCCTCAGTGGGAAGTGTATCTCTGATCTCCTGAAGATCCTGATGACCCAGCCAGACTTCCTGTGCTACCCGACAGGTTTGACGAAACATTGGTCAGTCCCAGCTGCAGACAAGAGGCTGCACGCAGACAGAAGTGTCGATGAAGAAGTAAGTATCTGTCACTATGTCAATGTCGCATGTGAAAGTTCCGGAGCTCCATTGTGGGAAAAACAAGAATAGACCCACTACTGTCCCAACAAGCAAGTTGTATGTGTTGACTAATTGGGGACCTCTTTTGAAGTCGGAGGGCATCTGCCCGAGTGACAAGGAACAACTGCACACAGATATGCCAGTAAAACGGATGTACACGCAAAACTCAGGCCCTGGCACAAAGCCAAAGTCCTAATGGATAAACAACCAGGAATTTCTGCCAGAGCTTACAGCGGGTGAATAAATGAACGTTAAATGTTGAATTAGGAATGGACATCACAGCACCCAGGACACCCCCATAAGCGCTCCATCCCCATCTTCAGCAGCAAGCGAAGAATTAAAATTCCGATGGTACCAGCCAGTGAATAAGGAAGTAAAAGAAGACTATGTCAGTGTGCTCTACTTTATCATTTTCTCCTGCAGCAAGTCATTTGAAGACGATCGCTCTCATCATTATAGTCTGCCTAAAATAAAAAAATTGATCTGTCACCATCTCTCCGACCTCGTTCCCGTTCCTACCCAAAGTACCACTTACGTCTTGTGGCCAGCTTCATGCTGGTCAGCGCCTGCCACTCTTTCCAAGAAAGTAGCACAAAAAGTTTATCAGTTAGCCAAAATTCAGCACTTTCTGGTTCAGAGCACACGTAAACTATTTTATGTATCTTACATTCAAGCCCATATTGACTATTGTTCCACGGTTTGGGATGGTTGCTCCAAATCCAACTTAAAACGACTGTGTTCTCTACAAAATCGCGCTTTACACCTAGTCTCAGATAGAAAGCACGCTGACAAAAATCATCTCTATAGCCATCTAAGAATTCTCCCATTTAATAAACGATTAATTTTTAATAAAGCCAAATTTGTTCATAAAATATTAGCTCAAAACACTGCAGATTATCTTTTCAGGTTAATTCACACCAACCCTAAGAACAGCAAACGCCTAAATTTATTGCATTTGCCAAAGCCTAGAATAGATCTATATAAAACAAGTTTGTCATATTCTGCTGCTCATTTATGGAATCACCTCTCACTCGATCTAAAAAATATGAGTATGTACTCATTTAACCGCAGCCTTTTTAAATTCATGCTTACTAGTGATTATATGCCACCATAGATGTAGCTAATAATTTACATGCATTATTATCTTACTTATATATATTATATAGGGTTGTGTGTGTGATTGTTAGTGTGTGTATGTATGTGGATATATGTATGTATTTTTAGGTTTGTAAGTAGGTGTGTGTTTGTATGTACATATGTTGTAAGTATGTGGGCGTATATATGTGCGACTGTATATGAGTGTATTTGTGATTGTAGGTGTGTGTGTGTATTATTTAATAAGTATGTATGTATGTATGCAGGTGAGAATATATGTATGTGGGTGTCTGTATGTGTGATTGTATATGTATGTATGCATGTATGTGTGTAAAGATGCAGGTGTATGTATTGATGTGTGTATGTATATGTGTGTATGTATGTTTACATGTGAGTGTAAATGTGTGGTTGTGGGTGTCTGTACATGTGATTGTATGTGTGTGTATGCATGCATGTGTAGGTGTGTATGTATGGAATGTGTGTGTGCATATATGTCCATATATGTATGCGTGTGTCTTTTATGTTTGTGTATATATGTAGATGTATATATGTATGTGTTAGGTATGTCTGTATATGAGTGTGCATGTATGAGAATGTGAGACATATATATATATATATATGTATATATATTATATAGTATATATATATATATATATATATATATATTATATATATCCATGTGTGTGTGTGTGTGTGTGTGTGTGTTGAGTGTGTAAGATTGTGTACACATGATGTATGGATTATTATATTCTATAATGTATATTTTTATTCTATGTCCATAACATGCATTTTAGATAACAGACATTGGTACTCTGAAAAACGAGTGCTTAGAAGGGCCGAATGTCAGACGGGCCTGCGTGCCCAATTTGTAACCCTTTGAAAATAAAGTTTGTTCGTTCGTTCGTTTGTTCGTTCCTTGTGCCATGCCTTCTGCTATTATTTTTTTCAATCTGCTGTGGTGCTTGATATGGCCAGAAGATTTCTTCACCATTTTTGTTATTGTTGCTCTGTGAGGGTGGGGCGGGGTGAGTGTGGTGATTGGAGGACAAGCCGTTGACCTTGTGCTGCAAAGATCTTGGGCTGTTTGACAGACACGAGGTTTCAGTTTCCCATGCAGTTTTCTTCACCTGTGGAGGAAGGTGGAGGGTGTGGGGGAGAGCAATTCAGTTAAAAATGAAATCTGCCACAATGCTGATTCAAACCCTAGACATTTGAACCAGCGCTGCAGCAGCTCTCAGATCAATGGCAATGGTATTGATCCAGTGGATCTTGGGATAGTTGGGATTTTTTCACGTGGACTTCTAGTAATTTTTTCCTGGTCTCTGGGTAATAAGATTGAATGCTCCTGTGCACTGTTGCGCACGTAAAAAAAATCCCTTGGCAGGTGGAAATCAAAAAGAGTAGCCTAACGGCGCTGCCCGGGCAGACTATTTTTAGGATCCTCGCTGGTGCTATGGAGTTTGTGCACTGCGCTGATATTCTTCAGACTCAGGCTTGAGTTAGAAGAAGAACGAAGCACTTATGGGTTACTACTCTTGTGCCATGATGTTGGTACGTTGTTTAAAACTAAACTAAACTAATCAATGCAGTGGCCTTGGAGGTGGCAAAACCAACAGCAGAAAAAAGTAAAGAGCCTTTAGACACATCGGGCATATGAAAGAACACCCATATATTTACAGACTGTAATGACTGCCCTTTTTTGTCTCCTCTACACTGGCTATCTATGGTGCAGAGTTAACACTGGCTCTGATATCTAGAGGGTTACAACTCAATCAAGCAGACATGATCCTCTTCATGGTCACACAACGTCTAACAACGGTTAACACAGCGGCACATTTCACGAGTTTATTTACACGTTAGCTCAATACAACAAATCACAGCGTGAATCCACTTACAGCAGTCGAGACAATAGACGTTGACATATTCACAGCTGGCTTTGACAATCAAAACAGTGGTAACCATCACAGCTAGACTTTATCGAGTCATTCATTCCTCGCCGAATCAGATCCACATGCTCTAGTCCATTCGTACAATCATAATCACACAGACTCATTTTACACTCCTTTATCTCAGGCGACCAGTCACCAGACATGCCCGCCTGATTCTCAATCCCCGAGATCTCCTCATTCACAACGTGGAAACACCTTTCCTGTCGTTTCACCATATCTCCGTAAAACACATGCTTCAGGGATTTCCCCCATTTATGCCAATCACCCCCCGACTTTATCCCTTTTTATAACATCATTACCCCTTCCTCCCCCTTAAAACCCAAAAAAAAAATTGCAATTTTTTTTTTTCCCCTAACCTATAAAAATTTTCCCAAATAAAAAGAATATATTCCCCATTTTTTACAAATATGTTTACTGTTGGCGGGAAATTTCTACCATTGGGTTCTCGGCCCTTGTCCACCTATGCAGAAATCTTTTTTGTCACTCCCCTTTGGACAGTTTTGGAATAGCAAAACGGGAATAAACCCCCCCAAAAGCGTTCCCAACAACGCGGATGACCTTTAGGCTCGTGACGTACTTATAAAAGTCCTAAAGGGCCAGTCTACCTAAAAAAAGAAGAAAAAAAAACACCCCAAAGCGTTCCTCAACAACGCGGAAGCCCCAAAAATGGTTTTTAAAAAACCAATTTATAAATCAAAACAGTTCTGTATTTTCCCCATAAAACCAATTTTCCTGTTTGACAGCGTTTCAAAGTGTTTGCTACTCCTTGTTGGTCTTCGTCATTCACCAGGGTTTTTAACCCAAAAGTTTTGCCAAAATTTTTATTTCTTTTTTAGCATTGGGGGCAATTTCATTTTCTGTTTGCCCCCACTATAAAATAGATTTTTCCCAAAATTTCTAGTTTCAATAATCTGTAATTCCCTGTTAAAAAAATTTTATTAAAACCAAAAGTTTTCTATTGGTTTTTTATAAACTCAAACCATTTTTCTTTTTATTTTTAAATTCATAAAACCATTTCCCATTACATTTTTCACATCATAACTTTCATATAAATCCTTCAATAAAAAACATTTATTTTATTTGAATTTTAATTTTTTAGAACCCAAAACAGGGTTTTTTGAACATTCTTTAGAAATGTTAGACTGTTCCCTATAATTATCTCCCTTTTTTTTTTTAAACCCCCTTGTGATTTTTTCTTTTTACTTGCACCATAATTTTTCCCCCCTTTTCCATTTAACTCCCCTTGTAATTATTTCTGTTTTATACTTTATAACCAGAAATAAATATCGGGAAGGGGGTTTTTTCAACCCCTTTTACATGCATAAGGGTAAAAATTTAAAAACTTTGCAGTAAAAATGCCCAGCGGTAAACTTGCTTTTTTTATTAATTATGTTCTGCAGTTTTTACCAATGAAAGATATCTGGGGATGTTTGAAAATTTCTTTGCCGTTTGGGAAATTTTTAAAATTTTTTTAAAAAAAAGATACACTAAAAAGCAAATGCCTCTGGTCGAAGGGCATTTATATTTCTGTTCCCGCTTGGGGATTTTTTTGGGACATATAATAAAACGGGTTAAAAACATTAGAATGTAACGGAGCTAGCATTGAACTTATGGAAATGGCAAACTCGCATCGGACTGAAAATAAAATATTTTTGATATGTCTGGCTGTCTGAAAAATTGGAATGGGAAAAAAGTTTCTTTAATGTTTTTGTAAAAAATTCGCTGTTGTTGCCCCCATTTTAGTTTTTTTTGGTTTTTCCCCTTTTTTTAAACAGTTCAAAAAAGGGAAAAAAAAGGGTTGGGTTCTGCGAGTTTGGGGATAAATTTTCCAAATAGTTTAAAAAGACCTAACAACGCTGTAGTTGTTTTTTTTTTTGGGTTTTTTCAATTTTTTAATATTTTTGATACTATTTT